CAAGGCTAGATAGAGTTCTACCACTTGGAAACACAGGGTCACTTCTGTTTTCTGGTGGTTCAAAAGAGATAAGAGTCTCACAGACATTTTTGTCCAGGCTGGCTTTGAACCACAACCCTCAAGTCTCAGCCTCCTCAATAGCTAGGATTGCAGGCATGAGCCACCAGCACCCAGCCCTGTTTGTGTTTTTCATGTATTTCCCTTACTATTTGTGTTTATGCTCTTTTGCCCAAACTGGTCTCAAAAACCATGAAATAACGGTTCCTGAAACTCAGCATCCCAGGTGTAGGAAGACAGAGGTGATGAACTTCAAAACCATTTTTGTTCAACTCTCAAGACTCATGATGACTGCTGGCAATTCCTGCAGGTTATTGTTTTCACATACATTTTACATATATATCCTGTCAGTAAGTACTGAGAAGAAATTCATTCAAAAACAAGCCAAATTGGTGGCTTGTAATAACATGCTAATCAAAATTGAAGCTACTCAAGAATTGAGTTGGAAGATTCCAAATTTACTACCAGCCTTGGCAAGTTTCTGTAAAAGTTTCTCCAACATGCACATACACACACACACACACACACACACACACACACACATAAACACTCACACACATACACATATACACACACAAACACATCCAGTTTCTTAGCAAGCTACAAGAGGCTGACATCTATACTCCTACTTGCTCATGAGACTGAGCTATGAAGATCACAGTTTAAAGCCAGTCCAGACAGAAGAGTCCCAAAAACCTTATCTACAATCAACCATCACAAAGTCAGAAATGAAGCTGTGAATCAAGAGGAAGAGTGCTAGCCCTAAGAAAAAAGCTCTAGGACAGCATTCAGGTCCCAAATTCAATGCCTAGGACCAGAAGATCCCACACATACTATTTTTAAGTCACAGTTACTCACTCCTTGAATGCTGGGGTTTTTTGGTTGTTGTTAAAATGAAGTAGATATGTTCCTTTTCATAAGATTGCAAATGCAATATATATTTATTAGTAAATGTATAATATGAGAATGCTGGACACATATCCATATTTTAGATATGTCATAGTTTAGATTTTTGGTCTAATGTTACAGAACTTATTTTATCTCTTTCCATGTCAGTTCTAAAGTAAATGCCACTTTTATACATTAGCCGTGGTTTTCTTTCTTCACTATTACTACTATGATCTTCACCCATAACTGATAAGTTACTAGAAGTTCAGAAAGTTGAACATCTTTCATACAAAAGTCTTTTCTGGAGTTAACTCACTCTCACGGAGTCATTGTAACTTAGAATCGTAAGTCAGACCTGAGGGGGTCAAATACACCTTTAGTAGTCATCTTGTAAGCACTTCAGCAGAACTGTACAAAATGGCGGGTGACTTGCACAGGGTGAGATCCCAACAATGGCAATGCAAATATCAGCCCTGTTTCCATTTTTAAAATGCCTTTCATGAGCCTCAAGTTTCAGGTCTGGATAATTTCCATGATTTTTTGTGTTCAAGGCTTGGGCTCTAATTCTTTTGTCACAAGTTCACATCTGTCTTTGGGATGGTGACCTGGAGATATGACTCACAGATTATCCAGAGCCAGGTGTCTTTGAACTGTGATCCTCAGATCTCAGCCTCCTTGTAGCTAAGAGTTCAGGCATGTCACTAGAGCCAGGCGCAGTTTTGTTTGTCCTTATGCAATATTTTAACTGTATAATAATGTTCAGAAAAATTGATTCTTACTAAAAGTCATGGATTTCAGATGAAAAACAATGTAGATAAGTTGAAGAATAAAAATCTAAAGTTCATTTCCATTTCTTAAATCCTACTTTTGTCTAAATCAAGTTTAATGTCAGTTGGGGTTTTCTAAATTTAAAAATGATATTTGGGGCTAGGGTTATACTTTAGTGTCCTAGTGCACCCTGAATACACAGAAACCCTTGCTCATGTCCCCAAAACTGATCATAAGAATAAGAATTAGAATTAAGCAGTTGTAATTGGACAAAAATCTACTTAATATTCATACTTTCGGCGTACTATTTTGGCAAAGCTGAAGAGGAAAATAAGGTAGGTTTGAAATAAAGGAAAATTATGTAAATTTTCACAAGATTTTAAGTTTAGTTGTCGTTTCTGTTTATGGCTACATTAATTATATATAAAAAGATTACTATTGATTACTTGGTAAGTACGATAAAGAGAAATATGAATTGGTCAACTAAAGGATTATATTTATTAAGTTCCCGTGAGTCACATCATTTTGGGTTGTTTTACACTTTCCTGCTTTGATTAGTTTGTGTTTTAATGCTATAGTGCTCAAACTGGTCTCAGAGAGAGTGATATCATTGGTGCTCCACCTAATTGAAGATAAGTGTCTCATGGATCTTTCTATCTGGGAAGATACTCAAATCTCAGTCCACATATAGTTAAAGGTTTAGGCAAGCAGATCAAAGGCTCTCTGCTTTCTCATAAACAACATCAACTGCCCCCTATGCAAATTGGTATTTCTACCAAGTTGTGTTCTTTGCTCAGAACACAGAATCCTGGCATAGGAGTCAGGCTCAAGGATCAAGTTGACCTCTCACCTCTCCATTTCCTCACTCCTGGAATGAGGTTACAGCTTCCCTAGGGATATCCCTGCTAGAACATTCACCAATTACTCCACTGCTGATTGAGGGGAAGACAGAACAAAAAAGACATGCCTGCTTTAGCCCAAGCAGCAACACCTAACCAGACCACTTGGTGTCTTTAGGTTGCCAGCATAGCTTGCGAAAGTTCTCCAGAAGAACACCAAAAGAATCCCACTACTTCTCACCATGCTAATGTGAATGTTGACATGTCAGTGATGATTGGGATAAGAGAGTTTCTGATCACAGGAAACTTCAGATAACCCTGTTCCACAAAACTGAGCAATTAATTATTAAACAAAGGAATATGGAAATATCATGGCCATTTGAGCTGCACTTAGGAGAAGATCACAGGCACATACATGGAGGTGATGCTTTTATCTCACCTTGAAAAAACACTGCAAGGAACTACTACCTTCATTGATATATGTTAACATGGATATTTTGGAAATTAATTCAATTATTTTAGGCTAATAACAGTTATAGTTTCCTTGTTCAGAGATGCAGCTAAATGCAACAAGGCTCAGGACATGTCCTTACTGTTCATGTAAAGTCTTTTCTTCTTGGGAGCCAGTGGTTAATGCCTGGAAGCTTAGCTACTCAGGAGGCTAAGATCTGAGTATTGAAAATCAAAGCTATCCCTGGCAAACATGTGCTTGTGATTCTTCTGGAAAGTTAACAAGCCAAAATCTAAAAATAGAGGATTGGTTCAAGTGGTTAGGTACACCAAACCTAGAGGGAAATGGCAACCCAGAGAGTAAGATTCCAGAATGAATCCTAAAAATCAAAGTTAATATGAAGTTATATAGACTCTCTCTTTCTCTCTATTACACACACACACACACACACACACACACACACACGAAAACAAACACATATATAAAGTGAAAATTTCAAAAAGAGAATACAGAAAACATTCCTTGCGGCTCAATGTTGCAATGTAAAACAGATATTACTCACAGGACTGGGACAACATTTGGCTACCTTCTTAAAGAATGCCTGCCTTTTTTGCTTGCCTCCTTGGGGGATGACTGGGTTTGAACCCAGAGCCAAGAGAATAACAATCAGATACTCCACGTTGAGTCACATGCCAAGTATGAAATGTTTCATGTTCTTTCAATCACTTTTACTTTTATATGTCTAAAGTAAAAGATGGAAAGAAACAAGTCATCATATTGTCACCATTGATAGCTAGAGCAATCAGAACCCACCTGAAACACAGTGTCTTCCCTTTGGTCCGAAGGTGGGCCCACAGAAGCACATGCACAGTGTTGGCACAGACCTGCTTCATTGGTTGGTGAAAAGGTGAGACATCTCACTTGCAGGGGACTAACTTTTCCTCATTTCTTGGAACTCATGGAGACTCTCCAGAAGATGGACGTGTCCCTAGCATGGAGGTTTCCCATCTTAACATTGAGTCTGCCAGAGGTTCCAGGGTATGCCAAGGCCTGCATGAAGGTAAGTGCTGAATCCACAGAAAGCAACAATCCACCTAGCTTTGGCACATTTCAATCATAATTCCAGTCCAAATCAGGCCTATTTTCTAGGCCTTGATTCCAGTTCTAAGCCAGAAACAAAAGGGAGGTAAATGTTTAGGAGAAATTCAAACCAACAGTTCAAAGCCTCTGGATGCCTCTCAGATCTCTGTAGAATGGCAGGATCTTTACAACTTCCTGTAACAATCCAGGATATTCTCCAATGATTGGCATGCATGACTCAATGGGGCCAAGGAATGCAGTCTTGTGATTTGGTCATTTTGGAAAAGATCAGGCTGAGCCATGTAGATCGAGGCATCTTTTCAAAGGGAATCCAATGAAGCACTGTTCTTGCTGACATTGCTATGCTGGGGGACGGTAATCAAGCTACTTTGATTCACAGTAATGTACATTGAATGTTACTTTCAATTCACTTTAATTTTTAATTCATTGACAGATCTTATGCAATTGATAGTCGACATAACAACCCAACCCCAAAATATGGGAAGGCTCTATGGGACCCTGCAAAAGAAGAACTCAAGTGTCAGCAACGGTCCCTCAGTTCAAGGAAAGAACAAGCATGAAGCCCTTGAGCTTGTTGATGAAGCTCCCAAGGCCAAAGTCCAGTGCCAGAACCCAGAGAAGCACTAGAAGGAACAAGCAGTAGTGTGCACTGTCCCACCCAGTGACACTGCAAATCAATGCAGACCTTCTGGCACTAAACATCCAAAACCCCACCCAGCAGAATCAGCAAAACTAAGACCCGGGGCAGGAAAACAATAACCAAAAGGAAGAGAATTGGAACAACTAAACAGTCAAAGAACCAAGTGCAAACAGAGAAGACAAGCACTACAAAGCACAAAAGAAACCAATCTGAGCCTTCCCAAGAGGACTTGAGAAAGCCTGGAAGCAACATATCCATGCATATGACAGAGTCAGTGCAGGTTTTCCATGCACTGGGTGACAAGAGTGGGAAGAAAATGGGGCTGCCTACCTCCAGGGCCTTGGGAAAGGCCAACAATTCCAAAGATACCAGATTTTCAACAGATACTCAATCAAGGCTGCATTCTAGAAGTCCTCAGAAATTTCTAGTAAACACAACAAAGAGCAGTGCGGAAAACCAGTGTCCCTCCCCAAGCCAGAGTGAGCTGCTGCCTCCACCTGGGAAGGTCAAGTTGGTGCCTTTGCCTTTTCTCTCCCAAGAGAAGCCTCGAGCTCGACCTGTTTCTCACAGGCCACAATCTCTGGCATCCCAGAGACCTACTGGAGCTTACTCTGCCCGGCCTCTTCCTAACACAGCGCAGCCTGTTCCAGTAAATGCAGCCCAACCAGCTACTGACAACTCATGTCTGATGGCTCCAATCAAACCACCTCGGCCTATTTTCAGCAATTCCACTCTGGGGGTAATGAACAACCTTCCCCAGTGTGCTCTTTCTAGGAGGCCTGCACCCTACAAAACTTCATCCTTCACATCTTTGTGGTACAATCCCCTTTCCACTACTGGCACCAAGCTCAGCTCACTACCTAAGCCTCCACACCAATATCTCCTGCAAGACTTCAGCTTGCAACCCATTCCATGGAGGAAATCTCATGTTCCTGGGCCAGTAGAGTCAGATCCCATCAGCAAGGAGCAGAGGCCAGAGCGCGAAGCCATGAAAAGGCGGGCTCAGCAAGAGCGTGACAAGGCTGCCAAAAACACCTTTATGGGGAAAATCCCATCCTTCCACCAGAGACAAACAGACATGGAGATTGCCCAGTACTATGGCTATGTTGTATAATATCTTTAAGACTGTGAGTCCCATTTTCACTATCCACTTTGTGCTTTAATTCCCTGTATGAGTTATACAAACTACAAAAAATTATAGATATATTTAGATATATTCATCTAGCTTCATAGTTTAACTACACTAAAATTCTCTTTCCATATTTTAATAAAACTTCAAAGTGAACAATGCAACATGGTACAATTAATAGATGATTCATAAAGTAACTATTTCTGTTTTCACATATAACTAAACTTGTGGTCTTTTTGGGTATTGTTAGGGATCAAAAGCTGTGCTGGCAAAAAGAAAACAGTGTTCTGTGGGAGAACAAGGAAGAGGCAGCAGAACTAAGACATAGGAAGGAAAAGATTCACCAAGGAAAATGAAGGTCACAAAGGACAAAGTCTATAGGCTTTGTAGAAAAATCATGAGTGAGCCTCACAACAGAAGGAGGAAATGAAATGTGATGTCCAAGTTCAAAGTAAAACAGTTAAATCAGTTGGAAGGTGGGCTTAGCGGATCTTGAGGAGTGTAAACAATTCTCCTATAGGGAACTGCCATATGTCCTGTAGAATCACCAGCTCAACTCCTGTAGGAAACACACTGACAGCTCACCTTTAGAAACCCAGCTTCATAGGAGGCTGAAAACAGGATACGGTTCTTTGCCAGGTTGAATAAAATAATCCTTGTTACACTTATGTGAAGTTAATCAACCAAAAGCCAGAAATAGACTTGTGACTCAAGTATTAAAGCCCCAGGCTTGAGTGAAAAAGGTAAGTGAGAGTACATTATTCCTGGCTTCCATCCCCACTACTGGCACACACATATCCACAAAACCCTTCCATCCCACACTGGCTACACATATACACACACACACACACTCACACACACACATGCACAGACATATCTGATTCACTACATAACTCCTGTAGTTGTTATCTAAAATGATTCATAGGAAAGGCAAATATATACTGTGGTAGAAACTTCACACAGAGGAGGCAAGGACTCCAGGTTATCCTGACAGCAATGGTTACCTGAGGCCTGGTCCAGTGAATTACAGCGGCATGAAAGCCAGCCAAAATGTGGACTGGCCATCAAGTACAATTTGCTCAACACTCATGCCCATGTAAGCAATATGCCACTACTTCAATGAAACTACAAACACACAAGGCTAGATCAACCCTCTACTTGTCTAGAAAGAGTCAGCACTCATCTGGGATTGCAGTAGAAGCAAAGACTCAGTGTCCATTAGAGGCACCAGACTCTGAATATGTCAAAGATTACATACGCCCCTGTTGTCCAACCACTCCTTCTGAGCAGAGTAGTCAGATCTTATAGGTGGACATGATCAAATGTCACAAGGGGCTGATAGACAAAACGAGGGGGGGTGGTCCTGACTTCCCAACCATTCCTAGTTATAGCACACAGGGGAAAAATCTTCTTCCAGTTCCATTCCCACCCATGTTGTGGAGCATCCATGCTGGTGCAGTTGGTCACACTCCAAGATGCAGAGGACAGGCCTGAGCCTTGCTACAAGTTCAAGGTGCAGGTGAAGAAATACGGGGTGGGCAGTACTAAGAATAGTCAGGGAAATGTGAGGTGAAGGAGATAGAGTTAGGGTGGAAGGACATTGGGCAAAAAATAACTAATTACATTTAAAAATATTTCTTGAGACACTATTGGTCAAATTCATCCTTTGAAGGATACAATTCAGTGTTATCAGCTATCAGAGATTATTTCCTTCAAGAAAACACCTCTCTTCTTTATATTGTTATGCTTGTAGTGGCCTGAACTCAGCACCAAGGCTCTGGCCTTTAGCAGTTCTCCACAAGGCCAATGCTCTTCTGCTTAAGGCACAGTTTCACTGCTTGCTTTTAGCTACTTAATTGGAGGTAGGAGTCTCAGGGATTTCTCTATGAACCTAACATAGTGGTGATCCCTAGGTCTCAGCCTCCTGAGGATCTTGTCCTAAAACCATGGGCTACCAGTGCCTAACACCTTTCTAACTTCAGAATGACCTCAGAGTCACCATCAGGAGTGTACACAAAGAGTTTTAACACTGCATAAACTAATAGAAAACTCAGAGCTTTGAATAATGAACAAAGTAATCAATGAAGGGGCCCATAGGCAGATCATGAACTTTAACAGAATCAGCAAAGTCATATTCCAAACAATCTTCCATGAACACAAATGCACAATTCTTAAAATTCATCCCTAATTGAGAAAGGCTAATATTTGGAAATTGCTAATGAAAAAAAGAACTGATAGGGTTATCATAACAGAGTTTGACAACTTATAATCAAGGATATTTAGCTTGAATTTATATCAGAAATCTTTTGGAATGTAGGAAAATGTTGGATAGGCATATAGTACCCTAGTTTACAAATAATGGATATGAAGAGGGTCATGAATAGTCCAGAAAACAAAAACCTAAATTTGTCTTGCATTTCAAATTTGCTATCAAATCACTAACTTGGGATGAGAACAAACTCAGTTATATTTACCACTAGAGAATCTACGTGAGAACAGAAGCAAATTTTTACAGGGTATGGAAAAGTGCAAGACTTTGTATGGAAGCAGGTCTACTGAGGGGCAAAAGAATGTTTGCACAGCCAGGCATTTGGTGGTCTTACCTCTAATGCTATATATCCTCAGAAGGCTGAGATTTGTGAATTGCTGTGTGAAGCAAGCCTGGCCAGGAAAGTCCCTAGGCTTACTCCTAATCAAGCACTGAAAGCAGCCAGAATTAAAACTGTGGCACAAGTGCTAGAGCACAGGCTAAGAAATATACATCAAGGACATTTCCCATGGCCTGAGTTCAAGACCCAGGTCCTGGATAAAAAATGATAGAATTCCTTCAAAAGTGCATAGTGATATACTGAATGGAAAATCAATAAACAAGCATTTTTAAGGTGAGAAACACTCACATACCTTACACCAATAAAATCTTGGTAGAAGGTCCCAAACCATATAGGAATTAAAGGAATTAAGGATTCCTTGTCTTGAAACTTAAAAGAGTTGCAATGGAGGAGGAGTGAGTGATGATTCAACCATGTCATCACAGCTGAACAGAGCCTAATTTCTAAGAATCCTTATTCTGAGAGATTGCATGTGTGCAATAAGTCTGTCAGACATTGATCTCCAAAGAACCAGCAAATGGCAGTCAGTGAAACTGTGGCTCAAAGGTCAGAGCACTAGTCTTAAGCAAAACAATTCAGGGACAAGACCCAGACTTGAATTGAAGCCACAAGACAGTCACAAATCAAACCAACAAGCAAACAAAATCCTAAAAGAAGAAGAGAGGCCATCAGGAATAGACAGTCTGCTTAAATTATGCCCAGGCAATCACAGGTGCTCTGATGAAAATGAAATACAGAAGTGCATCCCTGTGAAATACAGCTGTGGCTCCACAGTCGGCTCAATCCATAATGCTCAAGGACATAGCACATGTTCCCAATCCAAATTCTAGTACCTCAAGGAGCACATGCAAACACACAGAAATAACTCACAATAGGTGAGACTGCAGCCTAGAATTCAGAAGCTATAAGTACACAGAAAAAGAATTTACTTGGTCCTTGACTCATAACGATAGAACATCTAGTTCCAAGTACTGCATTCAGATACAATATGTACAACTGTGTTAGACAGACAGGGAACATTACTGTTCTATCCATTGCTACCAGTAAAACCTGGAAAAGAGTCAACCCAAAGGCCATTGAGCATCCTGCAGCTCTAGGTATGGGTCAAGTCTTTCTTCTTATGTTGGAACACTCTACCATCCTAACTTAGTCACTTTGGGATGTGATGCTCTATGGTCTTTGGGTGAAGGCTCAAGGAAATATGTGGGGCATCAGTGTTGGCCTCCTGTCTTGCATGTTCCTCTGTCACCACTTTTAGAAATCACTCATGGATTTTTATCCTGTAGCCAACAACTGGTAAATGCTTCCTGTGTTCAGCTCTTGCTCCCATACTATTGAGCCGAAAAGATTTCTTCCATACATTGTTGCTCTTACTCATACAAATGATCAGAAACTCACTCACTTTATCACAGCCCAAGGAGACGTATTGAGTAGTAAAAAGAGAAGTCACAGGAGAAGTAGTAACCAGGGCATGGAAAGCACACACAATCCTGACAGAGGTGGGCTGGACACAAAATGTGTACCTTACCCTTGTGAGTGCAGCACCACCTCAAACAGTGCCTGTGCTCAAAGATTTAGTGATGGGTTGCTTCTTTTCAATAAAATCAACATTTATTTTTCTTCTTGTCTGTTTTTTTTCTTTTAAAGTTAGTGGCAGGATAGGAAAGTGTCAACATTTATTCACCATTCTTCAAATAATTCTTTGATGAATGGCAGGTTCTTTGTACAACTACTTAAAGATTATGCAAATACAAATTAACAGTCACATGTCATTGGAAGTGTAGCTATGGCTCAAGTGTTTGAAAACAGCATTTCAAAAACAAATCTAAGCATCATTACTAGGATGTCATTTCAAACCTCGTTAAAACAACTCACCAAAGTGAGAGTTTTTCAGATGGCAATGAGAAAAGCCTACACAGGGGGCTAAGACACCAGGACAAAAGTCCAAAGCCAAACCAGCAATAAAGTCCACGGCACTCTTATAAAAAATTGAACATGTCTCCCAAAGAGAGGTGTAAATTACACTGTAGTTGTGACCCAAAATTTATTGTGACACTTTATATAGATATACATGAATATATATAGTAACTACTATACATATATAATTGTATATATAACTATGAAAAACTATATATATACATCATATATCTAATAATAGATAGAAACACACCCATTCACACACTATGAATGAATAGTGTTAGATTCCATAAAAATAAAACAAAATGCATGGACAAAATATAACCTCTGAAAAGCAATCCATAGAAGACAAGCATACTAACCAATGGCATAAATGAGTTTTTTGATATAAGAAAGTTTTTAAATATTCACTTTGGGGACTTTCATCCTTTAAGTCTTTACAATGGATAAAAGTTTCAG